CAAACTTAATAGAAAATGTCAGGAAGGTCATTGAACTCTAAAGACGTTCTTATCAAAAAATTCTGAATGAATTTCTGGGGATTTCGTGTGCCTACAGAGCAAATCGACTGAATCACGTGAAGACAAATCTCGAACGGGGCAACCTGCTTCCTCTTACTATGAGAAATCTGAGAGGTCCATACGAAGAGTGGGTGCAAAATTGTCGTTCTAAAATGACCATCAGGCAAATTTAATGGTAAAAGCGGCAAGCATATCGGCGGGAGCTTTGAGGAAGAGAGATCTAGCTGTTGTTCTAGAGCAAGTCACTGAAACTCCAACCAGATCATTGAAAATTAAAAAAATATATATATATATTATGCAAATCCCACAACAAACTACCAAACTACCATATTAAAGACCAGTAAAACCTCGTTCTAAATGGCAATTTTCTTTCAAAAATTTGGCGCCAATTTTTAAAAAATGGTGACTAAGTGCCACTCTAAATTCGAAATTTGAACATCTTTTCACAGAAAACTATTGAGTTTTCAAAAAACTTCGTACGAAGTCATTTTAAGCACTGAACAATCATATACAACTGTGTTTACAAATTACTGGAAATGTGCATATTAACGGCGTGAGAAATCAATCAAAAACATTACATTTGTTTAATTTTTTAAATAACAAAACAATTCTCCGAAATGAACATTACGTCGTATTAAAGAGTCCAACTTGCACTATCCGTTCAAAAAGTTTGAAGAAATAATTTGGTGCTGTTTTTGAAAAAATGGCCTTTGAGAATTTCTGAAAATGTGGAATTTGTAGCTAGTTTTCCCAGAACACTGTTGATTTTTCGGGGAACTTTATCTGATATTATTTATATAACATGTCCTCATAAATATGATAATGTAAACAAATTGACGCTAATGTTAATTTTAACAAATTGAAAGACGTCAAAAAATTACATTTCTGTATTTTTTGAGAAAACAAGAGTAGAGCAATACGACGTTTATGTCGTCTTATAGTGTGCATTTAGTACTATCCTTACCAAAACTTTAAAGAAAAAAATTGGAGCCGTTTTTGAGAAAATTTTCTTTTTATAATTTTTTTAAATGGCAAATATTGCACGAAATATTGCGCAATAACTACTAAAATTTTTAAAAAAATAGCGTGACCTTAATGAAAGAACTCACTAAGGAGAACCAATTTTATTTGATGGAAAATCTATATCTTCAATTTTGTTGTTGTAAGAAGACGCCCGAAAAATTTTGAAATTTTCGAAAATTTAAAGTTAACAGTGAAAATTGTACCAATGCCACCTTTATACGTGTTTTTTCTCTACTGTTACAAGAAATTTGAAGAAAAAAATTAGAGCCGATTTTGAGAAAATGTTGAAAGTGCCCGGAGGGCTTCATAGTAAAGTACCCCCAAGTGTTAAAGATTTTTTATCAAAATCTCAAAGATTCGACTCGTGCCAGATGGACAGGAGTTTCTTCAATTTTAAAAAAAAATCCTACATATGCTTAGGACCTGGTAGTGGTCATAAACGGGCAGACGGGCGTTTAAAAAACACTATTTTGTTATAAGGGGACCCAAAACATGTATTTCCGCGAAAATCTCGAAATCGATTTTCCACAGCATTGTATAACTTCCCATATACTACGTCTATTACTCCGTGTATATATACGTATACTCTGTATATACGTACGTATACGGGAAAGAAAAATTGGAAACCGGGAAATTACCAGAATGTGCAAAGTTTGTGACCGGCAGGAGGTGGTGCGAACTATCGGTCACTTTTGAAGCAGTTGAAGGTTTATTTCAAAGAGTTTCGACGTCTTCCTTGGCGCCAAATTTGAATTAATTTGGCCACCTATACCAACAATTTGGGTATTTTGGGACTTATAAGTCAGTTTGACCCCTTCTTACACGAACACATAAATAAATATGGTAATGCAGGGCAAGGGATATCATCATACTTGTCAGCCACCATTTGAAAAGAATTCGTAGAAATAATGGGGACTTAAGTTCTTTCAGTAAATTGGAAATTGAAAAAGAAAAATACTACGCTATTTCTGTAGATTTCTCTCAGGATGTCTCGTATCAATTAACTTACTGTTATAGTAAGATATGTGATAGACGTTGTTCCAAAAGAGCGATTTTTGCAGTTTATTCCCATCTACGGTCATAATGCAGAACATCTTACTGAAGTTGTGACACACTTCCCAAGAACCAATAATATAGATATCCTGGATTGAAGGTTTCAATCTTATGACAAAGCAGCAAACATATTAGGGCATTGTTCAGGGTTACAAGCAGAGATGGAAGAACTAAATAAATATGCTTAGTCTGTACCATGTGCTGGACACTCATTGTAATAGGGGTACATGCTGCCAAGAGTGGTTTAGATGTAACAATTTACTTTGATTTGGTGCAAAATATTTACACCTCGTTATCGTCAATACACCACGGGGATATATTTTGTTCATATTTAGGTGTCTAGTATCTATCTATCAATCTAGTATCTTAAAGTGGTGAATCAACTTTCAGATACTAGATGGTCTGCGCAGGCAGGTACAGTAAATGCTTTATGTGACGGATATAATGAAATCGGATCATGTCCTCAGTCTATATGAAATGATTAGACTAATCAATCGTCAGAGACACGTCATAAGAATCACGAATTAGAGAAAAAGCTTGATATACTTGAAACATTTTTTAACAATATTGAGGAATGAAATCCTCAGTAGATTAAACGCAGCAAATTACCTACTGCTTAGTGAAAAAGTAAATTTATCTGAAGCAGTTAAGATGCGCAAGTCATTAACAGTATTTATTGGGGAAAAGAGAGATGATTTTGACGACTATGAGTCCAAATTAAAAGCGAAATCAGATGTGAAAGTTTATCATGATACACAAAGGTGTCAAATAAAACGTAGATTCATTCTTGCATTTGCAGATAGTGGATGTAGTAATGAGGAGTCTTCTGGGAAGAGAAAAGTTCAGAGTAGGGACTTTCCTACCACCAATAGACACTGGTTTCTATCCTAGAACTCCGAAATAAAGCATACGTAGACATTGTTGATATGTTTGTTTTTTTGGAAAGTATGCATGAGTTAGAAAAATCAGAATTTCAAAATATTGCGAAATCCTTGCAAATTTTTATTGGAAAAGCAATTTTTATTGCAAAAATCTTGCAAGAGTTGGTTAGTGCAGATCTAATATCTGAATGCCACCATTTATCTGCATATCTAAAAGCAAATATAAAATATTTCCAAGAATATGCTGGATGTAATGAAAAAATATCATTATTCAAAACTTGTAAAGTTTCATGATTAATGAGAATATTTTATCAGCATTCCACAATATGTAAATTGCTATGAGGATTTACCTCATTTTATTTGTGACCGATGCATCTGGTTCATTTTCAACGTTGAAGACAATAAAATACGAGTTACGAAATTGCATGTCACAAACTCCATTAAATAATTTAAGTTTGATGGGTATTTAACATGACATTTTGGTAGAAATTGATTTTGATGACATAATTCACGATTTTACCTCCTCGAAGTGCACAAAAGTTATTCTCTAAAGAAGAAGAATTAATAAAGGAAAAATTAAGTGTTAATAACAGTTAATATATCACGTAAGTGAGTTTATTATTATTATTATTATTATTATTATTACTATTATTATTGTTGTTGTTATTGTTCCTCTAATTTAAGACTAAAGATATTATGAGTCGGTTGGTTAGAAAATGTACTCTGCAACCAGGTTTCTGAGGAGCAGATCTAGGGACTGTACAATATTTCTGGCAAAATGTGGGCTGTTTCCAAGAAAGCAATGTCTTGAACTTCCCAGTCTTCCCAGCCTTATCTGGGAGTTTAGACAAGTTCTTACACAAATTTTGCAGAACAAATCCCAAAGCTCCGATTACTCTCGGGACGACCTGTGCGTTTACGCTCCATTCGGCTGATTTCGATCTCCCAACTCTTGTATTTAACGCACGACACAGACGTTTTAATCGCATGATACAGACACATCTACATGTATAAACATTTTTTTCTCAAAAACCAGATAACAATAACCGGTTTGTTTGCCGCTATTGTGCGTTCAGTTTAAATTTGAGGGTCGATCACAATTGTAAACAGAAGTCACCAGTTTTGTTGAGTGTTCGTACCACTTGAAGCATGTCTTTGGAATTTCGAGGCCGTTGCAGTTCTGCCAGTGAAGGTAACTACACACCCTTTCGTATCTTTTTAAGTATTTGGTCTTTGCTAGAATTGGTCAAACTGGATTACATGATCAATTGTTTCTATTTGTTCCTGACAAATGCGGCATTTATGAACTTGGGAAATTTTGAGGACCTCTTTACCATAATGTGTTTTCAGCGCCTGATCTTGGGCATCTATTATAACTGCTTCCAATTCTAACTTTATCCTTCCCCATTTAAACTACTTAAATGATTGATCTTCATTGATTGCACCTTGTCCATTATTTTTAAACGTTGACCATGGAGTGGTTTGTCTCTCCAAGATTTCTATAATTTTTTGGTCTCACATTTCATGTTAAGTAGTATCAGAAGCTCATTGCCTGTTTTTGTTAATATTATTATTATTATTATTATTATTATTATTATTATTATTATTATTATTATTATAGTGATTTATATTACATTCGCCTGGGACCTCTACCTTCTTGGCTCGGCAATGAAGTCTCTTATTTATTGGTAGTAATGTAGCTATAATTTGTAGAGGTATATCACTGAATGATGTACACGCGCATACGCGCGCGCGTGTGTGTGTACGTGTTGTTTGTAGGGAAGCTTCATTTTCGAATCCGCCGGGGGCCTCAGAGATTCTAGAAACGGCCGCTGTAAACAGACCGCTAGAGACTCTCCGCTGTAACTCTCCATTGTAATGCTGTAACGTTGTGAGACTGACCACTAGACACGACTTTTTCCTGGCGAAGCCGTGTCCATGAAATGATTTGTGTTGAATGTAAATAACTTTGAAATACGATGAGGCGTGTTATATTTCTTTTGTATCCGATTTTGTAGTTGTTATCTGGGGCTATCAACCTCCGTCTGAATTGTGTACACAAGTTCAGGATTCACAGATAGGGGCGCTAGTGTCACTGTATTCAGCTTTGCCTAACGTTCGCCAACTTAGACACAATAAACATTTGACAGATTAATATAAAATGTAAAATAAGCAGAAATAAAGTATTGATAACGTCCGCATTTGGTTAAAAAAAAGTGGCTGTTCATAACGCAAGCATCAGTGCTGTGTTTATCTCCGTGCTTTGCTATACCTCTCCCGACATCGCACACCTGGCCCAGAAGTCATCTAAATGACGTTGGCAGAAATCTTTTAGTTCCTGCAAGCAGTTGACAGAATAGAGCGCGTCAGCACATCTCTGTGTCTTCATCAGTTTGTACGGGAGTGAATGATTCTATTGTCATCTGGTTATTATGTTGCACTTTTGGTGTAATGTTACATCTCGTACTATAACCTAAAAGAGTGAGACTTTTTCTGTAGAGGTCAGATTACTAGGTGCTTATCATCAGAGTAACCAATTTAAGTGTTAAATAATGACTGACAGTGGTTCAGAAGACTTGAGCAACGAACCACCGATTATATTTTACAAACATCGACCGGAATGGGATGATGTAACCCCAGTTCCTCAAGATGATGGACCAAATCCAATTGTTGCCATAGCATATTCCGAATTATGTACGTAACCTTTAAAGCTGTGGTATATTGAATTATCGAATAAAAGTATGATATAAAATTATGTTCTATTTATTTTTTGTTAAAAACATTTATGCTTCTTTTTTAACCAAAGTGCATTAATATATAGGCCTGCACCTTCATTGTTATTCACTTCTGTCAATAAAATATTGTACTTTGTTGTACAGAAATGTAGTTTTGTAATTGAAATGAGCATAATTGCAGGCATTATGTTCTTCGTAAATATTGGACTGTACTTGCTACTTAAAGGACTATGTATTTAAATAATTTATTATCAACAAAATGTTACCAATTACTGAAGCTCCGGTTATTGGTGCAAATATATATATATATGGGTTATTCTGGGCATTCTGCCATAAATTTGTCAAATATTTTTGTTACAGAAAAATGTGTTTATAGAAGTGTTGAACTTTTATTGAGATAATTAATTGTGGCAGTAATCATGCCTAAAATTACAAACATTTTGTTTCCAATGTATGTAAAAGACGATAGTTATTCAGTACTGTTTAGACATAAAATGTATGTCTAGAATGCATTGTGTTTCTTTGAAAAAATATTAAAAAGATTTACTTAAACTTATTTCAAGACATCAACTTAATGATAAAAAGTGTTCTTAGAAATAATTTTTTGCACATAGATATAAATTAACATACATTTTGAGTTAAAGTGTCAAGTTGTTTTTGGTGGTTGTTTCATTATTGTAAAATAATTTTATTGTTTCACAGTCCAAGATGTACATGACTATTTTCGAGCAGTACTTAAAAGTGGTGAAAAATCTGAAAGGGCTCTGCAACTTACAGATGATGCTCTTGATCTAAATCCAGCCAATTATACTGTATGGCAGTATAGGTAAGCAATAAAATTATTCATTATTATGTGTAAGTTTATATATTCAATTAGATCTATGACGATTATACGTTGCCACTAACACACAATTTTAGAATAAAACAAATTATTAAAAAACTTCATGCAGCACTTGAGTGATTGTTTTTCTTCCTTAGGAGAGAGATCCTAAAGCATTTGGAGAAAGATTTGCAAGAAGAACTCACTTATGTAAGAGGAGTTATTGAACGTAATGCCAAGAATTATCAAGTTTGGTAAGGATTAAAATCTTTTTGGTTGAGATTCAGAAATAATATATTGAAAAAGGTTGAAACGCCAACTTTTCTTTTAAAAAAATGAGAGGTTTTCTTAACCCAATAAGTCTCACTGATGCATGGACACAACACTTTTCTTCTGTGTTTTATTAATTTACTTTCTTAAAAAGCACATTGTTTTAAACATATCCAAACAATGTTAAGTTTTGAGGAAGAAGACAAAGTAGTCTAAATTACAGATTTTAAAAAATTTGAGTGTGGTACTACTTCTTTACAGATTATTTTTATCACAAAACATTATCCAATTGGTAATTCTTTTATTAGTATTTACTAAATGACAGTTATATGTATGCCATTCACTATGTCATTAAAATTTTTAATTTTTCTTTGGTGTGTATTGTACATATATCTTTATGTAAATGCATCTTTGGGAACACGTTGGGATCTACAATGTCAAAAGTAATTCCTCGTTGAAACAGCTAATCTGATTATTACTTATGATTTACTCTCTCAGATTGTGAACTTTCCTGCAAAGTGTTCTTCTGACAAAAATGTTCACAATTTCAATAATACCTGTTTAGAACTTAAGCAATGCCTTGGAATTCAAATTTTGAGGATTTCATATGCTAACCTAACTTAAAATTTAGTAGATTAATTTTATTAAAGAGAAGAAGCCTCGAATTGTGAGTAAAACCATGACCAGAAATAGGTTTCAGGAAATAAAGTTTCTTCATGTCTTGTATAATCATAGATTAGACAAACAGAACAATTTTGTAGCACAATTAGGCCATTTTTTGAGCATTTGAGTAAACATTTTAAGTAATTCTGAAATGTTTGAAATTGTTCTGAAACATAGATTATTTGTGCATGAGCAGTTGGTACCTTACTATGGTAGACATTCAGTGAAAATGTTAAGGGTAAACCAATTAGATTTTATTTTAAAATTTGGTTCTAGGCTCTTTGAATAATTTCTTCTCATTTATTCAGTGAGGTGGGACAATTTTTTGTAAAAACAATAGATTTGGACTTGGTGAATTAATAGTTTTTTTATTTGCTAGAAAACTTGCCCAACCCATCCTCTCTATATTTTTTGACACTTTCTTTATGACATACAAGTTGTTGACATTTTTGTCAAGTAATTTACTGCTAGGAACTATGAGAGTATTCTCAATGTTGAAAATCATATAACTTTTGACTAAAGAATGAAAGGAACTTCTGGCATCCTGAGAGACACGATTTTTCCCTCTATTATCAGTTGACATGGTATAGTGACAATGATGTCAAATTATGGTGGGACCACATCCTTTAGCACAGTAAAGCACTTCAATCCAAATAGCAGAAAAATGAAAAGGTCTTACAACCCAGAATTGTTGAATACAATGAAGTTATTGGTGGGGTAGACTTCCACGATAATCATTTAAAAAATTATTGTGTAAAAGTCTGAGAAAAAAAGTGAAAGTTTCTTATACTTTTTCAGTATTTGTGTTTATATTTCTTTCAAAATCAAATTCTAGAAGTCATCAGTTATTACTTTTATTCCTTTGCTAATAAATTCATATTCTATTAGTAAGTCTTAAATTCCATTCTGCCCTTATTGTTCCTAGATTTCTACCGCAACATCGTTAAGTTTTTCAGGTGTCTGTTAGTAAATAAATGGGAATTTACACACATATGTTTCTTAGAATGACATAAAAGTTGGGGGGGGGGGAATAATTAGATAAATATTTCTATATCAAGGAACAAATGAGTTAATATAAAAGAATATATTTGAAAAATAGCTAGCTTCACTAGCATAGAAAACTGAAAGTTTTTTTTGACATCTGACATTATCTTATACAAACATTACACTTTCCTCAAACTTCAGCTAATAAGAGATGTACTTGAGGTAGAAATTCAATAAAATTTTCCAATGTTTTCAATTATATTGATGGAAATTAATTTATAGTGTATTCGTTTACTATTACTGTATTATATTCTCGCACTTACTAACATAAGAAGAGAAAGTACTGTAATCATGCACCGGAAAACAGCTAATTTTTTTATGTTGTATATTTGAGGGTGTGGAAATACTATTTACATTTATATGAGTATTTGAAATTGTGTTTTCAGGCATCATCGTAGAGTAATAGTTGAATGGCTACAAGATCCATCTCACGAATTAGAATTAACAGAAGCAATATTAAGCCGTGATGATAAAAATTATCATGCTTGGGAACATCGACAATGGGTAATTCGTACTTTCAAGTGAGTAATTCTTTGCTAAGAAACAGCACAGAATTTAATGTTGGTATTACAAAAGGATTCATTAATTCTTTTGTGTTAAATGTTTGGTTCATGATCCGTCTAGTTACTAGGTTTGTTGTGTTCTTTTTTTCATTCCTCAGAATCTTAAACATCACTTTGATGCTTCTATGGTCAGTTTTGACCTCCCACTCATTTGTCACCGCATTTGTTAAAAAAACTATTTATTTTAATTTTTTTTAATAGGAATTCATGGACAGCTCTTCACCCGAACTGTCCAAAAATTAAATTAAAAACATTGTATTTCAGCTTTTCTTGTGCATTATATGCTTTGCATGTTTAACTTTTTCTTCTTTGAGTTTTAAATGCCATTCTTAGTGTGTAACTTCACAGAACTTAAAGTCACAAACTGCATGTGTGTCGGCAGCTACTAGTGCTTACTGCAAACTTGAAAGGTGGTCTCTGCTTTTCGTCGTAAACTGCTCTTGCATTGTTGCCGGGAGGAGTGGAACTCACCGGTGTAATAGTGTTGATGTGCTCGCTGTGACCCGAGGTGCATCACAGCTGAGAGACCGTCTGAGGTGATCATTCTGGTGGACTAGGTTGATATAACTCACTCCGCTGGATGCTACAGACCTGCGATTCTCGCAAGGAAACCTAATCCCCCCCCCGGACCAATGGCACGATGTACGTCCAGTAGATGTTCTTGGGGTGGTACCACTGCCAATGGTGTTTGATACACTAGGTATAGTGGCAGGAAAGATGTGGGGAGGGGGAAGGTTGGCCTGCCAGATGTCCTGCAACGGACTGCACTGAAAGCTGAAGCATTTTGTTTGGCACACTGGACATATTTGCAAATTAGGCAGGCAAGCATTACAGACTATGTAGCTGTTTTGACAAGTCAAGTCAGCACAAACAGTCGTTAAATACACCAGGCATTGAAGTTGTCCTGTGTATCAGTATCCTGCTCTATTCGGCACTTGCTTAAAACCATGTACAGATTCCTAGCGCACCACAACTCCATTACTGTCCTTCAGCTACTTCAGTTGAATATAACTGGATGAAAGATTAATTTACTATAGTTTTGGAAAACTGTTCAAACGATTTGGTTCTAATTTGTCGTCATTGTGTCCTCTTGTTTTCCAGATTATATGACAACGAACTTGAATACGTGGATAGGCTACTTACTGAAGACATTCGTAACAATTCAGCATGGAATCAACGTTATTTTGTTTTAAACAACACTTCAAATTTCCCAGCAGATGTCATTGATAGAGAAATACTTTATACAATTGCGAAAATTAAAAAGGTTACTAATAATGAGAGTGCATGGAATTACTTGAGGGGGTAAGTCTTATGTGATAAAAGAGTATATTCAATAAAAATGAGTTCTTTTATTTCATATACATTCACAAATAAATTCATAGAAATCATTCCAAATAGGCCTTGTAGAAAATAACTTTGTAAATTATTTTCTTAGTGCATTATCTCTGGGTATTTTGCCTTTTTAAATGGTATTGATAAATGTTTTTACTACAATTTAGTGTGTTGGAACGAAGCGATTATGGAATATGTGAAAATTCTGTTGTTAAGCAATTCTGTGAGGATTTATATGCATCTGGAAACCGTTCACCTTATCTTTTGGGATTCATGGTAGAAATGTGTGAGGAACAAATTGAAAAAGGTGCTGGTGACAGTTTCTACAATTTGGAGCAAGCAGTTAGGGTATGTATTTTTCTTCATACTACAACTGAGTAATATCTCTTCAAGTTTATACTAGAAGCATGTTGTAGAGATCAAATGTTGTCAAGACATTAGTTCTGTTGTAAAAATGTATTTTACAATTTTTTTCTTTATAAGAATGAACATTTTATGTACTGTAAGTGAACAGTATTTTTCAATGACTGTATATTCGTAATCATGTTGTGCAATTAAAATTTTCTAGTATTTTATGAAAGCTATTCAAGGTCTCAATTTCCATTCATATGTCATGAACATTCATGCATGTTTGAATGTGTTGTTTTCATATTAATTTCTCTTGTTTAATGTATGTGTCTACGTGTTGTGTTTTGTGGGCTGGAACATAGATTTACATTCATTGTATGATGAGTTAATACTTTTATTTTATAAAATGCCAAATTTCAATATCTGTAATCACAGAATATCTTAGTATTATACACTCAATTCTTTTTCAGTTATGTGATTCTCTTGCAAAAGAATACGACACTGTTCGTAAGGAATATTGGAATTACATTGCTCGATGTCTAACTAATAAAAGAAATAGTCATTGTAATAATGGCTCATCGAAGGCTCTAATTGAAGAAATGACCAGTGCAGCCAGTGATGGTACAATAGTTACGTCTGTTAATGAATGAACTATAATATCTACCAGTGATGCTAGTCTTTTGACAGCACAGCATAAATGGTACAGATTGATGAATGATAGCTGTGAATGAATGTTGCTTTTGTGTAAGTATACATTTTATCGAGGCCTTTTAAAAAATAATTTTATTATTCTGATGTTATTATTGAAATGTTATGATACATTTTGTCAGAGTTTCAGATGAAGTTTTTCACTACATGTATTTTGAAACTTAGCCTCTTGCTCTTTGACTTACATAGACCAGAATATTGATGTTATGACTTCACATTGTGTTCATAGTTTTACCTTGCATACATTTATTTCATGAGTATTAAGAGATTTGTTAAAGGGCAAAGTTTTTGTAACACTTTTATTGCATATTACAAAACACTCGTATTTGTCCTGGCTGTGGAACAACAATGCTTTTTTAAATATTTTGTTTTTCTGTTGTCTATCTTGATTAAGGTAATATTGATGTGTAAACAACATATAACGTAATTGTAGATTTTGATAAGAGAGCTAAATCTACTCTTAATTATGTGTAAAGCTCAAAAATGTTTCTGAAATGTACTATTAGGCATGTACGTGTATGGGTTTTGAATTCACATTCTTTTCAGTGCACACTTGTTTGTAAGTCCATCTTGTTATTGGTATTTTGAAATAATATGTTGATCTTAATGAATATAAAGATCTTTTGTTCGCACCATGAAATGTCCTGCAGAAGAATTTCATTACCCAAATTAAAACTCTTGTGTCTGCTTAATAATAGTTTGAATTCATCTTTTGGGATGTTGGAATTCCTTTTTGGTTCATAATATGTAGGATGTGTGATAA